GCCGCCATCTTGGCTGACAGTTAATTTACATATCTCCCTGATTAGCCAATGGGAAGGGTAGCGGTCGTACGCCAATTACCATGTTTCTCTTTTATTAGTGTAGATATATATATATAAAAGGTATGTTGCTTATAAGAGACTCACTTAAGCATTAAGGACATTCATAGCCAGAAAGTAAAGGGATGGAAAAAGATATGCCATACAAATGGAAACCAAAAAAGAGCAGGAATAGCTATACATATATCAGACAAAATAAGCTTTAAGTCAAAAGCTGTAACAAGAGACAAAAAAGGTCATTATATAATGACTAGAGGCCCGGTGCACAAAAATTTGTGCACTTGGGGGATCCCTCAGCCCAGCCTATGCCCTCTTGCAGTCTGGGACCCCTTGGAGGACGGGGGATCGGGCCCAAGCTGGCAGTCAGACATCGCTCTGGCAGCCCGGCAGCCCTCGGAGGATGTCAACTTGCCAGCGGGAAGCAGGCCTAAGCTGCAGTTGGACATCATTAGCGCTGCTGAGAAGGCGGGAGAGGCTCCCACCCCCACTGCTGTACTGGCAGCCATCAGCCTAGCTTGTGGCTGAGCAGAGCTCCCCCTGTGGGAGCACACTGACCACCAGGGGGCAGCTCCTGCATTGAGTGTCTGCCCGCTGGTGGTCAGTGTGTGTCATAGTGACCAGTCATTCCCAGTCGTTCTGCTGTTAGGGTCAGTTTGCATATTACCCTTTTATTATATAGGATAGAGGCCTGGTGCATGGGTAGGGGCCGACTGGTTTGCCCTGAAGGGTGTCCCGAATTAGGGTGGGGGGCCCGCTGGGGTGCCTGGCCAGCCTGGGTGAGGGGCTGATGGCTGTTTGTAGGCTGGTCAAGCCCCCCCCAGTGGGGACCCTCACCCCATAGAGGTTTGGCCAGCCTGGGTGAGGGGCTGATGGCTGTTTTCAGGCTGACCACACACCCTTTAGGGTGGGGGGTCCACTGGGTTACCTGGCCAGTCTGGGTGAGGGGCTGAGTTGTTACACTTATCTATGCATTCACTGGTTGCTTCTATCCTGATCAGAGATCAAACCCATAACCTGGCGTATTGTATCAAACTCTAACCAACTGAGCTATCTGCCCAGGGCCCAGAATATTCATTCTTAAACACATATGGAAAAAAACAAACAAAAAAAACAAAAACCACAGCCCTGACCGGTTTGGCTCAGTGGATAGAGTGTCGGCCTACGGACTCAAGGGTCCCGGGTTTGATTCCAGTCAAGGGCATGTACCTTGGTTGCAGGCACATACCCAGTAGGGAGTGTGCAGGAGGCAGCTGATCGATGTTTCTCTCTCATCGATGTTTCTAACTCTCTATCCCTCTCCCTTCCTCTCTGTAAAAAAAATCAATAAAATATATTTAAAAAAATAAATCACATACAGAACATCTCCAGGATAAATCATATGTTATGTCACAAAACAAATTTTTTTTTAAATGACAGTATGTTTTCCAATCACAATGATATGATATTTGAAGTCAATAATAGAAAGAAAATTCACAAATATGTGAAAATCAAACACAATCAACAAATAATCAATCAATTGGTCAAAGAAGAAATCAAAAGGGAAAGCCAAAAGTATCTTGAAACAAATGAAAATGGAAACACAGCATCCCAGAACTTAAAAGATACAAGCAGTTCTAAGAGGAACGTTTACAGCAATAAACACCTACATTAAGAAAAAAGAACGGCCCTGACTGGTTTGGCTCAGTGGATAGACCATCGGCCTGCGGACTCAAGGGTCCCAGGTTCGATTCCGGTCAAGGGCATGTACCTTGGTTGCAGGCACATACCCAGTAGGGAGTGTGCAGGAGGCAGCTGATCGATGTTTCTCTCTCATCGATGTTTCTAACTCTCTATCCTTCTCCCTTCCTCTCTGTAAAAAATCAATAAAATATATTTTGAAAAAAAAAAAAGAAAAAAAAGAAAAAAAAAAGAAAAAAGAACGACCTCAAACAACCTACTTTAACATCTCAAGAAAACAGAAAAGGGAAAACAAACTAAGCCCCCCAAGTTAGCAGAAGGAAATAACAAAGATCAGAACAGAAATTAATGAAATAGAGACCAGAAAAACAACAGAAAAGATCAATGAAACTAAGAACTGATTATTTGAAAATATAAACATAACTAACACCTTTAGATAGACGATTTAAAAAGAGAAAGAAGAATCAAATAAAATCAGAAACATAGAAAGAGACATTACAACAAATACCACAGAAACACAAAGGGTCATAAAAGACTACTAAAATAATTATATGCCAACAAATTAGATAACCGAGGAGAAATGGATAAATTCCTAGAAATATATACCTACTAAGACTGAATCATGAAGAAATAGAAAATAAGAATAGATCAGCCCTAACTGGTTTGGCTCAGTGGATAGAGCGTCGGCCTGCAGACTGAAAGACCCCAGGTTCGATTCCGGTCAAGGGCATGTACCTTGGTTGCGGGCACATCCCCAGTAGGAGGTGTGAAGGAGGCAGCTGATCGATGTTTCTCTCTCTCTCATTGATGTTTCTAACTCTCTATCCCTCTCCCTTCCTCTCTGTAAAAAATCAGTAAAATATATTTTTTTAAAAAGAATAGATCAATAACAAGTAAGGAGATAGAATCAGAAATCAAAAATTTGAGGAGGAAGGAACACTTTCAAATTCATTTTACAACGCCAGAGAAGGGAACTGCAAAAAAAAGAAAATTACAAGCCAATATTCTTGATAAAAACAGATGCAAAAATCCTCAACAAAGTATTAGCAAACAGAATTCAACAGCACATTAAAAAGATCACACACCATAATCAAGTGGAATTTATACCTGGAATGAAAGGATGATCCAATGTATACAAATCAACTAATGTGATACACCACATTAGCAGAATAGATAAAAATCATATACTGATCTCAATAGTATTTGACAAAAATACTATTATGTCTAAAAGCATTTGACAAAATTGAACTTTCTTTCATAATAAAAACTCAAAAAAATTAGGTATAGATGAAATGTACCTCAACATAACAAAGGCCATATTGAAAAGTCCACAGCTAACATCATACTCAAGGGTAGAAGCTGAAAGCTTTTCCTCTAAGATCAGTGATAAGAATGTCCACTCTCACCACTCCTACTCAACACAATATTGAAAGTCCCAGCCAAAGAAATCAGGTAAGAAAAAGATACAAAAGGCATCAGATTGGAAATGAAGATATAAAATTGTCTCTATTTGCAGATGACATAATTTTATATAGAGAAAACCTATAGATGCTACCAAAAATCTGTTAAAACTAATAAAAAAAATTCAGTGAACTTGCAGAATACAAAATTAACATACAAAAATCTGTAGTACTTCTATACATTAACAGTATTGTCTGAAAATAAAATACTCCCATATACAATAGCATCAAAAGACAAAATATTTGGGAATAAACTTAACCAAGGAAGTGAAAGATATCTACACTGAAAACTACAAGACACTGATGGAATTAATCAAAGTGCGCGCGCCCACACACACACAAAAGAAAGTTATAGTGTTCATGGATTGAAGAATTAATAATGTTAAGATGTCCATATTACCCAAAGCCTTCTACAGATTCAATGCAATCCCTATTAAGATACCAATGGCTGCTCTAGTCGGTTTAGCTCAGTGGATAGAGCATCAGTCTGCCAGCTGAGGGGTCCCGGGTGTTCAGTTCCAGTCGAGGACACATGCCCGGGTTCTGGGCTCGGTCCCCAGTAGAGGGTATGAAGGAGGCAGCCGATCAATGATTATCTCTCATTACTGATGTTTCTCTCTCTTTCTGCCTCTTCCTCTCTAAAATCAATAAAAATATTTTTTTTAAAAAAGAGCCTCCCTTTAAAAAAAAAAAGATACCAATGGCACTTTTGACAGAAGTAGAAAAAACAATCCTAAAATTTATATGAAGCTACGAAAGATCCTAAATAGCCAAAGCAATCCTGAGAAAGAACAAAGTAGGAGGCATCACTTTCTGGTTTTAAGCTATATTATAAATACTTTTTTGGGGGGGAAATAGCTAATGGGGGGAAAGCTCTTTTTTTAATCCAGTTATTCAAATGTATCATATTATTTTCCAATATTACATATTTGTAAAAATATAAGGCTGCACCTAAACCTTACAATTAGTTACTTTATAATGCCACAAAACCTACTTTTTCTTCTCTTTCTATTTCAAGTTGTTTCCTAATAGACGAAAGTTCATTTTTGAGATTGGATAGTTCAACCTCCAAAGATGCTTTCATTGATGATTGTTCTTGTTCTCTGCTCTTATAAAGTCCTATAAAGAAAAAAACACAAAGTTTTTAAGTACATATAAATGCAAACTAGTGTTTCAAATAAATTTAATTTTATAGAGAAATAAATTACTTATATATATACACTTTAAAAGCCTACTAATATGAAGGCTGCTACTTGAACATACCTAAAGATTTCATTTATACAAATATTTTATAGTTTACTAGAGGACCGGTACACAAAAATTCGTGCAATTGGGGGATCCCTCAGCCCGGCTTGTGCCCTCTCATAATCCAGGAGCCCTTGGGGGATGTCCAACTGATGGTTAAGTCACAGTCTGGCCTCCCTCTGCAGGAGGCGACTGGTGGGCCCATCGGGGGCCAGCGCTGGCTGGCAAGCAGCTGGCCCTCCACCCCCTGTGGCCTCCCTCTGTGGGAGGCAACCAGAGGGCCGCCGCCATCCCCTCCCTCTGCCTGCTGGCATCTGCCTTGGCTGGCCAGGTTCCACCCGCTCACTGGCCCCACCCCCTGCCGACCAGTCACTCCGCTGTTTGGTCAATTTGCATATTAGGCTTTTATTATATAGGATTCTAAAGAAATATTAACACTATATATCTCTCCTCCTCATTCTCTCCCAATCTACCCCTTCCGGGTTCTCCCAATCTCAATCAGAGCTCCAAACTTATATGTAACTGTAGTTTATAAGCATTCATTTGGGGGGAAAAAGAGTTCATTCCACCATTTCAAAAAATAAATTGGAAGCCTATTTAACTATAAGATTCCTTTCCGATCTAAGACATTTTTAATCTACAACTCGAAAACTATGTCAAGCCCTAGCCAATTTGGCTCAGTGGATAGAGCGTTGGCCCTCTCACTGAAGGATCCCAGGTTCGATTCTGCAAGGGCAGGTACCTCGGTTGCAGGCTCTGGCCCCGGTCGGGGAGCTTGCAGGAGGCAACAACAACAAAAAATTATGGCTTTATTTAATATTATTCTTTACCAGCAGCCATGTTGACATGAAAATTGGCTTTTATGGCTATTTATTCTGTATCTCACCAAAGATGCTTTCACTGATGATTGTTCTTGTTCTCTGCTCTTATAAAGTCCTAATTCTGAGTCTCTTTCTTCAACAATTTTATCATATTGGTGCTACATGAAACAGAAAAAAACATTTTAAATACCAGTATATTAGAACCCAAATAGATTATGCTTTAATATGACTGGTATCCTTGTGCATTTAAAATTTAAAGAAAATAATGACTATGAGTTAAGTGATGTATATATTTAAGCATATTTTTGAAATTTTTCAATTACATAAACAATGAAACCTAGATAACTGTCTTGGAAATAACACATGAGCAAGAAATTATTCTTTTTAATTGGAAACACTGAATTTCTTAATTTTAAAAACAGGACCTCTTAGAAAAGTGGCTGATTCCAGATTTGAGGCAGGAAATACATGATGAATCTGGAATGCTGTCATAAGAAAAAGCAGGAAAGCTATCAAGGACTATTTTTTTTTTTATTGATTTTTTACAGAGAGGAAGGGAGAGAGATAGAGAGTTAGAAACATCGATGAGAGAGAAACATCGCTCAGCTGCATCCTGCACATCTACTGGGGATGTGCCTGCAACCCAGGTACATGCCCTTGACCGGAATCGAACCTGGGACCCCTCAGTCCGCAGGCCGACGCTCTATCCACTGAGCCAAACCGGTTTCGGCTATCAAGGACTATTAAAGTCAAGTCAAGCCCTAACCGGTTTGGCTCAGTGGATAGAGC